GCTTTTTTCTTTTTATATAAAATTTGCATTTGAAGCCCCTCAATTTGCATTTTCTCCAATCCAGGATTAAATTAGTTCCCCCCCCCCAGCCCACAATGAAATAAGTCTGTCTTTAATTTAAATCGATGTGTGAATACAATTTTCCAGGCAGGTAAACACAAAATCATTTTCACAGCATGTTCTTTCTCAGGGTCTTTGACGTGTGTGTGTTGTGAGAGAAGTTGTTAATAAATTTGAATTTCAGAAGTAGTGGAAGAGAATATCCTTTTAACTATTCATTGCCAAATGCAGTGCAGCGGTCAGGCTGATGAGAACATGATCAGAGATATAATTGTGGCCATCAAGGCCGCTCGGAGGAGGCAGACTCTTTTTAGAGTGGTTTATTTTTTCCATAATTAAAACTGTGGCTGTGTGATTTGGAAGTTAGCCCTCTGTGTCAATAGGGAAGTGATGGATTTAGTCAGCTGGTGTTGCGGCTATGGTTCCTCATAACCACTCGCTTGAAAAACCAAAGTCTATTTGAAGGCCTATCCAGAGTGGTGCCAGTCATTCATAGTGGACGTCTCCAGCCTGATGAGACTCTGCTAGCTTCCATTTGCAGGAGATTTTAGTTGAAGAGGGGTTTATTGCAGGCTGCAGACCTCTTGCTGGACTTGTGGCATCGCATAAAGAAAACTTAAACGATTGGTTTGTGAAAGCTTTGACCGGATTGTGTTTTGTGGGGTATCTACCGACAGAGAGTCAGCTTGGGCAAAATTTTGGCTTAAATTTGGCGTTTTGTCAAGTCTGAGCTTCAAAATTCACTTCCAAGGTATTCTAAAGAGCTGGGTATTATTTCTGGACAAATAGTTTGGCAAAGAAATGGAAAATGTTCCTGCAAGAGGAAAGAGGGAGAAGGTTGACTTCAGTGAGTCGTCGGAGGCAAGCAAAGCAAACAAAAAGAGAAAAGATCTTTTTAAAACGGCAAAGCACTTGCTTTCATCATTTTTGGAGCGGAACACTGAGCTGTTCTAAGTCGAGTTTCTCAGAATGGAGGCTGTAAACGAAAAGTTTAAAAATATGCCTTCATTTTGGATGTTTCAATTAATCCAGGCATGAAATGGAACATTTTATTTTGCATAGAGCAAAGGCCAAGTGAAATAGTTAAGCCAATACAAAATTCTTCTGGTTTTCCTTTTTGCCGAAAAGACAGAAAGTGCATTTTTTTATTTGCTCCTTTTTTTGTTCTGTTTTGCGGAATTGAAATCTCTTTACTGAGAGGGATTGTCAGATGTTGTTCTACAAAGTAAATAGGTTTGGTGGGGATGTCTTTGCCACGTAAGGTTTAGTTCTGGATCTGGCAAATACAAAGTAAATAGGTTTGGTGGGGATGTCTGCCACGTAAGGTTTAGTTCTGGATCTGGCAATGTTTCCACTGCTCTGCTGTGCTTGGTCACAAACACCTGCTTATCACTGCGGTCACTTGCTCCTGGTGCCCATTTCTATGTCGTCTCATAGTCCCTTTGTTCACATTGCAGGTCCTTCCCTGTCAGCCCCATTTCCCGTGTCAGTCTGTACTGGTACATCTTCGTTCTTCAGCCAGCCCCGGGATGTTTAATGCACTGTGCTGTGCCTATGTCCTTCCCAATTCTGTTTTAATTGATTTTTCTAGTTCTTAATTACAAACCCTGTTCCTGGCTGAGGCTAAGCAGAGGCCGTACCACTGCAGGTCTACAGCCCTCGGGTTACTGGTGGGGTCAGTTAGGATCGTTCTGTTTAGCACTACCGTTCTTTTCAGCAAATTGTGCTTTAAGATCTGTTCCTGTGTCCGCTCTCCTGTGCTCATCTCTTTTTTTTCCTTGTTTTTGGTTTTTTTCCCTCTTTTTGAAGTTAGGAACAAGACATATTTTGGAAACCATGCAGGCTGCAGGGCATCAGATCAACACGCTGTTTCTGTGCGGTGGGCTGAGCAAGAACCCTCTCTTTGTGCAGATGCACGCTGACATTACTGGTAAGTTAGAGGAAGTGCGGGGAAAGGAGTGTAAACTACTTTATTTTAGGTGGCTAAATACTTTGTCTTTGGAAAAATAAATACTGCCTTTATATAGAACTATATTTTGCTGGTTGGCCAAAAAGTGTGTAATGAAATGTTACTTCCTGCAAGACTGGATTTCCTGAAATTTAAAGACATTTGAATACCACAGAGATGTGGTGCACACAAAGCTCCGTGCGTCCTATTGGTGGAAACCAGACTTCTGGAGAAACCTCCGGCATGATTTCCAATCTGTGCATCTTAGATGTACAGGGTTTTTTAAGAAAGTGCACAAGAATTAACATAGAAACTTTGCGTGAAATTTTTAAAACCAGTATGTAGAAATTACACGTCAGAGAGGTTTCTTGCTTTTAGATTTAAAAAAAAGTTATTCAAAGAGTTCTATAGAAATGATTCCATGCAGTCAGATTACAAGGAATTAGTTATGAGGCTAATACCCACTGCATTTTGTCAGCGTGGTTTGCCAGAGATGTGTTTTACTAAAACCTCTCTTAGTTTGATCACATTTGAATTCTGTTGGACCTCTGCTGACGCTTCCTGCTTATGCTGGACGTTGTATCCGTTACACAGAACAATGGTTTTCTGAATTACTTCCATGTCTGCATCATTAACAAGGTTTAGGAAACAATTTCTGGATTGTTGCTCCTGCATGGTGTTTCAGTTGGTTTCGCAGTATTCCTGCT